CTCGGCCCACCGCAACCTCTGCCTCCTGGGTTCAGGCAATTCTCCTGCCTCAGCCTCCTGAGTAGCTGGGACTACAGGCACGCGCCACCATGCCCAGCTAATTTTTTGTAGTTTTAGTAGAGACGGGGTTTCACCATGTTGACCAGGATGGTCTTGATCTCTTGACCTTGTGATCCACCAGCCTCGGCCTCCCAAAGTGCTGGGATTACAGGCTTGAGCCACCGCGCCCGGCAATTTTTATATTTTTAGTAGAGATGGGGTTTCATCATGTTGGCCAGGCCGATCTTGAACTCCTGACCTCTCAGGTGATCCACTGGCCTCAGCCTCCCAAAATGTTGGGATTACAGGCATGAGCCACCGTGCCTGGCCCTTCTTCGGGTGTTTTATGGTTTAAAGTTGTAGATTTGGAGCTATGATCCATTTTGTGTTAATTTTCATATATAATGTAAGGTATGGGTTGAAGTACTTTTATTTTTTAACATAGGATTTCCAATTGCTCCAGAACAATTTGTTGAAAAGACTATACTTTCTCCATTTGGTTATTTTGTATCTTGGTTGAAATACCAATTAAATATGTGCATAGGTCTATTTCTCAAATCTCTATTCTGTTCTGCCAATGTTTTAAGTTTTTGGTAGCCATCATGCTGATAATTAAGGTGATAAACGTCTTCATATAGTCCAAGGACAAGACATTAAAAATAAATGATAGCAGAAAACTACTTCCACAAACAGAAACAGCTACTTCAGCAGCCAGACATGGTGGCTCACACCTGTAATCCAAACACTTTGAGAGGCCAATATGGGCGAATCGCTTGAGTCTAGTAGTTTAAAACCAGCTTGGGCAACATGGTAAAACTGTGTCTCTACAAAAAAATATAATAATTACCAAGGTGTGGTAATGTGTGCCTGTAGTCCCACCTACTTGGGAGGCTGAGGTAGAAGGATCAATTGAGCCCAGGAGGTCGAGGCTACGAGGCTACAGTGAGCTGTGATCATACCACTGCATTCCAGCCTGGGTAATGGAGTAAGACTCTGTCTTTTCTGTGGAAAAAAAAAAAAAAAATGAACAAGCTACTTCTTTCCTATATACTTATATGAAAAGAAATGTCAACTTATTGCAAAGAATGTTAAGTGCTAGGTCATGGAGAGATGATGAAGATGGTACTTTAGTTCTGTCTAGCTAGTTAGAAGTTTCCCAGCTCCCAGAAGCTGATGTGGGACGATCCCAGGATCATTTGGCTTAGATAACACTCAACATCTACCCATTTTCAATCTTTTAAGAATCACTAGACACTTTCCAAATATGGGAATATTTAAACACCGAGAAAGCCAAAAAGAAGAGAGGAAAACTTATTAAACTAGATTCAACCTGCAGATTTTATAAAAAGGCTTAATTGAATTAATTATTATTTTATAAACTGAAGCAGCATCACCATTTCCTCATGGCCGACACACTCTTCAGTATACATAAGCCAGCCTGGCTTCTGCCTACACCACTCTTGTGCTCTTGTCAAAGCTATTGACAACCTTCACGTTGTAGCATCTCACAGTCACTTCTCTAGCCACATTATCTTCCTGAACTCACATCTGCTTCCATTGAGTTGGCTGCTCCATTTTTATTGTCTTCAACGGCACCTCCTACTCTTTTAATTATTTTTAATTATTATTATTATTGTTTTTTGAGACGGAACCTCCCTCTGGTACCCAGGCTGGAGTGGAGTGGCACAATTTCAGATCACTGCAACCTCCACTTCTGGGTTCAAGTGATTTTCCTGCCTCAGCCTCCCAAGTAGTCGGGATTACAGGCGTGTGCCATCACCTGCCCCCACCCCAACCCAGGCTAATTTTTGTATTTTTATTTACATTATTTTATTGAGACAAAGTCTGGCTCTGCTGCCCAGGCTAGAGTGCAATGGTGCTATCTCAGCTCACTACAACCTCTGCTTCCCGGGTTCAAGCGATTCTCCTGCCTCAGCCTCCCAAGTAGCTGGGATCACAAACATGAGTCATCATGCCTGGATAATTTTGTATTTTTATTTTTTAATTATTATTATTTTTAAAATTTTGTATTTTCAGTAGAGACAGGGTTCACCATGTTAGCCAGGCTGGTCTCAAACTCCTGACCTCAAGTGATCCGCCCACCTCAGCCTCCCAAAGTGCTAGGATTACAGGTATGAGCCACGGTGCTTGGCCTAGTTCTTTATTTCTAGTACAGGCAACTCCTACACTAGAAGAATCATGATGCTTCTACCTCTGTGCCCTCTCCTCTGCTCCTTCTCAATTTTCTTTGTTAGGCCTCCTTACCTATCAAACCTCTAATAGATTCCGGATTCGTCAGCGCTAGGTCCTGGCCCTTTTCTCTTTTATCTCCTCTCTCTAGCCATAGGTCATCTCTTCTACCTACGAATTTAAATTTTCCCTCTAAGTTAATGACTCCTAAATTTCTATCTTTAGTCAAGACCTCTGCTCTGACTTCCAAATTCACATTTGGAAGCTCGATGCATTTTGAGTACCTACTAGGTGACGCAGCAATGAACAAAAGAGTAAAAGAGACAAACAAGTAAATGAATAAATATACTCTTTACTT